CACACACACACACACACACACACACACACACACACACACACACACACACACACAAACAGGCATGGCGGTGAATAAGCACGGACTGGCTAACGCGTTTGACAGATTGATTTAGCTCAGAACGTCCCGAGGTCACACACACCAAACACACACACACACTCCCACGCTTATCATCACAGCGGCTTTGTTAAAGAAGATGAGGCCAATTAAACTGATATCACTCTCTTGCTGTCGTTTAAAGCTTCACGCTCTCTTTTTTCCCCTCTCAGCTCCAGGTTTTATCTTTTTTTTTAATTCTGCTCCCTCTTTCCTCCGATAGTCTCCCCCCATCTTCGTCTTTTTTTTATTCTCTTCATCTTTTCGACCGGTCAGATGCACTTTCCACACCTTCGTTTCTGAGATTCATCCTTTCCGCCCTGCTCCTCCTCCTCCTCGCTCCGTGTTTTCTAACAGCGTGATAAACGTCCATCTGTGATCGGCCGATGCCCCCCATCGCCGTGGCGCCCGCGAGGTCGTAAACAACAGCCCGTCTCCCCCGGCAACGTGGCGTCTCCATGGACGCGAGGGCCTGCTAAGACGACGGGCTCTGCGTGTGTGCGACTGAGGCGGAATGCGACATCCGACGACTGCCAAATGTGTGTGTGTGTGTGTGATATACGCTGAGTGTATGTGTATGTGTGTGTGGGAGCTAATGAGCGATCATAAGTGAGCAAATGTTTTCTCTGGGTTCCACTAATGTTCAACAAACACACACACACACATATACATCAGGTGTGTGTGTGTGTGTCATTAGTATGCCACAGTGAGCTGTGTCCATATGTCACTAAACACAAGCATGTTTTATTTATCCCGGAGAGGAAGAGGAGGAGAAGAAGGCCAACAGTCACTGTCAAGAGGATGGAAAATGAAGGAGAAAAAAACTGGCAAGATGAGAGGAAAAAAGATTAGAGAGGTGAGAAGATGGAGGGAAGGAGAGGAAGTTCACAATTAAAGGAAGGGGGGATGGAGATACGGAGAACACGAGGTGATGGAGAGAAAAGTACAAAAGAGGAAAAGACATAAAGGAGGAGAAAAAGAGAAAAGAGCAACAAAGTACAAGTTAAAGACTAAAAAGAGAGAAGGGATGACTAGCAGCAGGAAGGTGAGTTGAGGGAAGAGAGGAGGGACATGAGGAGTAAAGGAGGTGGGAGGGATGGACAGATGGAGGAGTGGGACCCCAGAGACGTGTCATTCATCACACCACCATGCAATCTGCACTCCTTCACCCTCCTCCTCTCATCTTTGTCTTCTCCGCTTCATCCGTTCCATCATTTCTCCTCTTCTCTCTTTTTAGAATTTTTTTTTTTTACTGTCACACTTCTAGTGTCTTTCTTGGTCCATCTCTTCTTTTCTTTCCCTCCCTCCCTCCCACCATCACTACTTTGGCGCTCGTTTTTAGGTTTCATTATCTCCTCTGGCGACGTCCGTTCGCTCTTCTCTCCATCCCTTGTTTTTTTCTCTCACTTTCTGTGTCAACAGGAGGGAAAAAAATCATTTTTTTTCTTGAAAAAAGAATCGTGAATGGACAGATAAGACGGGAAGAGAGATGTAAAAAAAGAGAGAGACGGGAAGACCGGAGAAGAGGAGGAGAAACTGCAGGAGGAGATTAAAGCTGACAGGAAATGAGAGGATGAAAAATAAAACGACGAGTAAATAAATTAGGCGTTCGTTCAATAATTTCCCAAACCTAAATAAAATGTAATTTTAAAGACAAATGTCTACATAATGACCTCGAGGGTCAGCAGGAACGAGTGCTCCGCCTCTCCAGAGGGGGCCGTCAGGACCACATGTTCTACAAAATAAAAGTCCTTCAGAGCAGCTCTCAGTAAGTGGATGATGGTGCTTTTAATTATTCAGACTCGTTCATATGGTGAACGCTGGCAGATCACTGATCGCCGGAGGAACTTCTCATGGCAGCCACCAACGGACACAAGTAAAGCAACGTTTTTAGCAACAGTGAAACTAATTACACAAAGGGGACATATTAAATGTTAAATACATTTTGTTGTGGACTTGGAGTCTCTAGGAGGCAGAAAAGTTTAAATTTAGTCTCTCTTTGTGCGGCAAAGATATCTTTATATTCTGTTTGGGTCATTTGTTTCAACCAGTTTTCTATGACGTTTTCTAAACTTTTCCGTCAAATTATTAGCGACAGAACTGATACAGTCTGGACTTTATTCTCCTCTGGTTCTGGCTCCAACATGTTAAGGCCCTGTCACACTAGACAACTTATGTCAACTTATGAACATTTTAAAGACATCTACGTTGAAGATGGAACTGAAAAAATCAACAGGAAGCTTCTTTTCGGCATGTACATAATGTAATTCGAACAAATTGATCAAACATATAACTTTTATTAGCAATTTAGACACAAAAATATTTCATAAATTGGCATAAGTTGTCTAGTGTAACAGGGCCTTAAGGCTGGATGAACAAGTCTTCCCTTGTTGGCATCTTTTAATTCATTTAAAAATGAAAGTTTTCTGCGCCACTGTATAGTCATACAACCCTCTATCAAACTAGAATGAACCATTAAATTGAAAGAGACAGCCTCAAAGCAAATTTTGGACACACCCCAGAAAAGGGGCGGGGCTTGTGGAGCAACAATAAGGAGGATTTCAGATCAAAGTCTTGCACTCCCACTTTATATAAACCCCAACTGATGGATTTAAATGTGAAAAAAGAAGAATTTTAAAGCTTAAGTCTACTTTAAAATACAAGGTAACATAAAAGGGAAATGTATTAAAAGCCAATATATAACCAGAAATAAATGCTAACCAAATCCCAGTCTAAAAGGATGAGTTTGAACACGTGTATTAAATCCATAGAGTGTTGTTGAAAAGGCAAATAGCTCCAAACAACTACACAAACTGTCACCTTTATTTAGCTTTAATTTAGGGCTTCAGATAAAAGCTGCTCAACAGAAACAGCCGAAGTAAAGTATGTGTTTTGTTTGTTTACATTGAGTTTGTATACACTGATTGCTGGTTGAAAAATATAGACTTAATACGTTTACATCTTGTCAGTCCTTTTAAATGAAAGTAAATTAAAAAAGTAAAATTTTATTTATAAAGCACTTTTCATAGAAATAACTTCACAAAGTGCTGTACAATACAAAAATACACAAAACAACAACAAATGCAGCAGAAGCCTGTACTCTGGACTGAATACTGAAAAGAAAATTTGAACTTCAGGTCTACAGTCCAAGTCCTCACTGGAGTTAGAAGATCACACCACGATGCTAACGGTGCAACGGCGCCCTGATCTGAGTTGACTTTAACTATGATTGATGATGTGCTGACACTAGAACACATTTTATGAACAAAGTTCACCTCTTGTTGTTTTTATTGGGTAACAAGTTGCCACAAAACCAGCGCTCGAGCTTAAGTTCCTGTGTTGTCATAGGAACAATTAGAAATATGAGGTTGCATGGTTAAGTTTGAAATAAGAACAGCTGCGATTGACTCATCTGTCCAACCGGAACCAGGGACATCTGTTTGGATAAAAAAATGTAAAAAAAAAAAAAAAACGAAAACGTAGAGCAGTGAAGTGTCTCACCGGTGTGGGACAGCAGGTTGGGGGACAGCAAGCCGGGGAGTCCCGGGTGCAGCAGCCGGGGGCTTTCCTGGATCCCTGCACCTGAACACCGTTTGGGGGGTCGGCCTGGACGAGAG